TGCATCCTTATACATAAATCTTTACCCCATTTCCTTATTCCTTCCACTCCAACTGACGCCATTCAATCAACTTCTGTAATCCTTTCAACTCGCCCTTTCCATTTCACAGTCTCAGCTGTATACTGTCCTCCTGATAATTCTGTAATACTCTCCGTATCTCCTTGATGCGTTGTTCCAATCTCTCGGATCGCGCTTTATTGCTGGAGGAGATTACAATGCTAAACACCAATGGTGGGGTTGTCGAACATCCAACTCCCGCGGTATCATCCTTTCCCGTCTCTCATCTTCTAATAGTTATTCAATCCTCTCGCCCATGAGTCCTACTTATTGGCCAACATTCCTCAAAAAACGTCCCGATATCCTGGATATATTTATCACCTCCCAGATTTCCTCCTCCCAAACTGTAATCAAATCCCTGGATGAAATTTCTTCAGACCATAGTACAGTTCTGCTTTCACTACATTCTGACTTTGCTCCTAAACCATCACCTCCCAAACTGATCAATGGACGAGTAAACTGGGACAAATTTCGTGATGATTTGGAAAACAAACTTGACCTCAAAATTCCGCTAAAGACAAAAGAAGACATTAATGGTGCCATAGAAAAACTGACATCAACAATAACAGACAGTATAAATAATAATACCTTTATCAATAAGATTAACAAACCACAAAATACTAACTTGCCACAGCATATTCGCATCTTATTAAAGGAAAAATGCAGAGCAAGATCGAAGTGGCATCGAACTAGATACCATATAAAGCGCATTACACTCAACTGACTAACAAACTGAAATCAGAAATTAGAAAATACAAAATTTACTAACTTTTGCTGAAAAACTTACACCTACCGAAAAATCACTATGGACGACCACTAAAAGGCTCCTGAAATTTAAAGACTGCAACCATCCACTACTCACTGAAGCCCAAACCTGGTCCAAATCCGACGAAGAAAAATCCGAAATATTTGCTGACCATCTCTTCAAAACCTTTAATCCACATCCCGATATTCTTAATCCAAATCACCTTAAATGTATTGAAGCAGAACTGCATATACCACTCCAAATGTCTCTTCTACCTAAAGCCTTTCATCCTTCAGAAATATCCAACATCATTCACAGGTTACCTTCCCGCAAAGCTCCTGGACACGACCTAATTACCTTTCAGATCCTAAAACTACTTCCTCGGAAAGCCATTCTATTCCTTACTTATATATATAATGCTGTACTCCGATCCACATATTTTCCCGACCCTTGGAAACTATCCATTACCAAAATGATACATAAATCAAAAAAACCACCAGAATACCCATCCTCTTACCGTCCTATCTCTCTTTTACCCATCATGGACAAAGTCCTGGAAAAACTCATAATAAAACGCCTGTAGCCAATTCTAGATTCTAATCACATAATCCCAGATCACCAGTTTGGATTGCGCAGATCCCATTCCACAATCCAGCAATGCCATCGTGTGGTGGATGTTGTCTCCTCTGCATTAGAGCGCGGAATGTACTGCACGGGAGCCTTTCTCGATGTAGAACAGGCTTTTGATCGAGTCTGGCACCCGGGACTACTTTACAAACTCCGTAAATTCCTACATCCTACCTACTTCCTCATTATCCGTTCCAATCTAACTGATAGATACTCAAAAGTCAATCACAATAATGCTTATTTATCCCTCTTTTCCAAGTCCGCTGGTGTTCCTCAAGGTAGTATCCTTGGTCCTATCCTTTACACAGTTTATACAGCTGAAATCCCAACCCATCCTAACACTGTTATTACCTCGTATGCCGATGACACATGTATCCTGTCCTATCCGTTAATAATGACCCAACCATTGCATCCCAAACTCTTCAATCACACATCACAAGCCTTGAAGAATGGTGTCAAAACTGGATGATTAAAATAAATTCTAATAAATCCCATCAAATCACCTTTACCCTTCGACGTAAACCTATGACCTCATGTCCCACAGTATCCTTTAATAATACCCCACTTATCCCTGTTGAACGAATCCGATACCTTGGACTTCACTTGGACAAACGTCTAACTTGGATTCCTCATACCAGACTGAAACGACAAGAAACCACTAGACGTTTCCGACTACTCCAACACTTACTAGACAAACGCTCTAAGCTTCCAGTTAATTACAAAAGACTTATATACATGACTACAATAAGACCTATTTGGACTTACGGAGTTGAGCTTTGGGGCTCCACTAAGCCATCGAATTCCTCTCGTATCCAATCCTTACAATCCAAAATCCTTCGGAAAATCCTCAATGCTCCTTACTTTGTCACCAATAAAATAATCCATAATGACCTTAATGTTCCTTATGTTTCCGATTTGGCCCAATCCAGATACCTAACCTTGCTTCCTCTTCTATTCCTGATAACCCTCCGAGGCGTCTGAAAAGAAGATGGCCTCGCGATCTCTTTGTTTTTAGAGTGCTACCAGTGGGTAGTTTCTCAACAAGTCATTTCATGTTATTATTTTCTGTTATCAAATTTACTTAATGTATTTAATTTTTTAATACAGTTGTAAATATCATGAATAAATAAAAAATAAAAAAATCTTTCATTTCAAATAGTTAATTTTTTTTACAACAAAAATTTTCATTTAATAAATATGGATGCCGAGTATTCAAGTGAGTTATTTGCCAAATTATAAGTTCATAATTTTCCCTATTAACTTATTTATTACGGTATGCTCTAAAATTACACTATTTTTTAAAATTTACTTTTATTTCCATTTTAATTTCAATTTATGTCTTCAATATATAAATTTCAAAGCAATCCATGAAGAATTTTCGGAGAATTTTTTTTGCGGCTTTGATAAAAAAACAAAACATTTACATTTTTATTTTTTTACACATATAAAATTATCGTAAGACAGAAGTACTATGCCAGGAACCTACGCGGGAGTGTACGCAACAACTACCGAAAGTTTCATGGCGATCGGATGAATGGTTTAGTAATGCATACATGACAAACAGAAAGACATACACTCATTTATATACATAGTAGCTTTACCCGGCCACGCGCTGCTGTGGCTTAGCCTGGCAAAATGGAAAGGAAAGAGAATAGAAAGCACAGATGAGTGGATTAATGCCAAAGGACATCTGTCATTTTTATAAAGTTGGGAAACAAATTTGTCTGTAAAATGACTTCAATTAAAACTAATGATTTTTTTTTTCATGCTTCAACTTGAACATTCTTAATCATCTGAGTGAATATGCCGTCATTCTTAATCATCAGAAACAGTCTGAGTTGAACTTATAAAACTAACACTGACTTTATCTCTGCTTTCTAAAAATGACAGAAATCCGTCCTTTGATATCAAGCCACTCATATATTTTCATATTATTTTTTTTTTATATTTAATGTATTGTTTAATGTTTAACTTTGTGTTGACCATTTTATGGCAAATAAAAATGTAAATTTTTGGTTGTTTAAAATCTTAAATCTCAGAAAGTTCTTCACCCATTGTCTTGAAATTTTGGCTTAACGTTGCATTTAAACACGCGCGTGGTTTAATATATCTACTATTATAAAATATAAGGTGAAACTATACATATTTATTAAAAACCCACCATCAGTTGGATGTAAAAGCGGTTCAAAATATTTTACGACACTGTTTCAATTTTAAAGATTTTCAAATATCAATCGTGGCAATGCATTGAAATTGTGCTATACCATTTATTATAGCGTGCATTTCGTGTGCATTACAGCTGCCTTCCACCTTTCTCAAAAAACTTCGCATACCCCTCCTAAGATAGTTGATTGCTTGCTTCTTCTTAGTAACAACTTGATTAAATGTAGAGTGGTAAAAATTGTAGTGGAAAAATAAACCATACTCATGAAAGAAATCCTACGATAAACAGCCCAACCTTATTCCAACATAATGTCAGAGAAAAGAATTTATAAAAAAATAAAATATACTGAAATTAATAAAAAACTGATTTCTAAAAAGAACATAAACGGTGATAAGTATTACTCAAGAGTTAAATCTTTTTAAATAATAGCAAATCAAATATTTGAAATGTATCATACTACTTCCAGAATACATTGGGGGGAAAATATAAAATGAATATAAAGAGTGTATAATAATATTGACCTACATAACGAGAATCATATCACTTCTTCAAATGATAATTTCAATTACTGTAGTATTTAACTCTAATGAGAGGAACAATGAGTATGTAAGATTTTCCAGATATTAATAATGAAGGAAAACAAAAAATTATAAAATTCAGTTAACGAAAAGTATGTTCCAACTGTGAAACAAAAAAAATACATAAATAAGAATTTCTAAACAGGTCAAACCTAAAATGTTCTCATAATATAGAAAAATAAATAAAAACATTAATAAAACAAACGCAACAAAAACATATACCTGAAGTTATAAAAAAGTAAAAACAAAATTGTACAAAGTAATGTAACATGTGTGTGCATGTCAAGCAAACATGTCCAAGTGTGATGGTGAGTTGATGACGACCTGCTGGCCAACGTCTCGTCGACATTCCCCTTGCCTGCAATAAACCAAATATATCTGATTTTCCCTGCAGACCTCTTTTGCCGGGCCAACTAGTACTAGTGTCTGTTGGTTACCGACAAAGCTTCGCTTAGGTAAATCTTGTGGGCGTCATTTTCTTGCCATCCGAGATGGCTTGTTGAAAAGTGAAACTTTTCGCCTCTGGAACAACTCAACCCTAAGCGACTGCCGGACGAACCTTACCACAAGGGGCCCGGGCGTATCGTCTTGCCTGGATCTCTGTTCTGCATAGTCTATATCCTCCACCTTTAAACTCAGGCCCAGGCCCGCCCCCACGCTCATCACCAGGCCCATCGGAGTCTCCCCAGATCTCACTGGGACTCCTCTTATTTCTAGTGATCTGGAAAGGTGCAATTGCTCCCTTTTATTGAGCCTGATTACGAGCTCCGAGACCCGAGAGTCGTGTTTTCCAGGACCAGTCAATCTTAGAATTTTGATTCTTCAGTAGTTACTCTATAGTGTCAGATTTCTTCGCATTCTCAAAAGTTATAGAGGCTTGTTTTTCGAGGGATAGTTTTAATTCTTTCACCTCGTTAGCATTGGCATCGAGGAAGAATTCTAATCCTTTGACCTCTTCTGTAAGATCTTTAATAGCAGTAAGTAACAGTTGTGACGTGGCGTCGGCAGTTTGTTGTTGTGGAGCCGATCTTTGGGGGCTAAAGCACTTATCTGTCGGTTGGATATTTTTCCAAGCCTTTTCACATTTTGGATATACCCAATTTTTTCGTGATGCCTTCAGTGCTTCAAATTCACTCTCATCTGTGTTTAAGAATTTTCCATAAAAAATGGCTTGACACGGTGTGATAATAATGCTATTGTTTTATCTTCTCTCTGTCTCTAACTATGGTCTGTCTGCAAATTAGGTATAAAATCATCTTGATAGGTGTTAAAAAAAAAAAAAAAAAATACGACAAAAAAAAAGTGACATGGTAAAAAATTGACTTAACACTAACATCGTCCCTGATTACACTGAGATATCCAGTGGCTAGTCTTATTTATGCGCTCCCCACTTCTATTCTTATCTAAAATGTCTACGACAGATACCTTAAGCCGTCTAAAACTGAGATTGTTTCCTTTCTTCTTCTGACATAAGACGCCGGTGAAGTGAAGAATCTATCCTGTCCGTGGATATAGATCGATTAATAATTGGTCCTAACCAAAAATTATGATAAAACTCCTTCTAAAAACTGTGAAACCGCTGATTACAAACTAATTGAACTTCTATCATACGCTCTGTACTGAGGTCTAGACCACAATGATTGGTAGATATCGGAAAATTCTGTTGCACAGGGTACTCGAAATGAGCGGTCAGAGAGGTAGGATCGAAGGATTAGGTATAAGGACTGAGGGAGATGGATTTTAAGCTTAAAGAGCAGCCCGTAGTGCCTTAAGTGGAGGTAGAATCATATGGTGGCAAATAGCTCAAAGTGTTCTATTACGTTCTCAAGTGATTGCAGTTAGTTTTTGTGTTGTTTTTGTTGTAATTTTCGTTCTTGTTGTTGTTTTTTCGTTATTGGACATGATTTTATTATGATATAAGTAGTTTTAGTTATTGTAAATAGGAACAGTAGAAGTGAAGGTTAATCTCACGGTTTCCTCCATCACTGTAACTTTTCTAAATAAACTTTTAGAGACCGGCTTACAGTGCAGGATTTGGTGCATTCTAAGGTAAGAAAACCCTTGAACATTAAGTGTAATTTTGTTAATCAGAAGGAACTTTAATAGTCAATAACGACTTTAGGTTAAGTTTTATAAACTTATTTTAATTGCTTGCCCATCATTATAACATATTTTGTTACAAATTTTGGACAAATAACATTCCTGTGACATGTTTAAAAGCACCGAAACAGCTATGGAGGAAGGAGTGGAAGAAGAACAGATCTTAAAGCATCCAAGGTCTACCGCTAAACGGCAAAGAAAGGGATCCCCTGACTCCCGTGAAGAGTCTGGAAAGGCTAGAATAGAAGATATTCTCCTAAACGATGGACGTCGAAATCAAGAGAACATTAGAGTTTATATGAATACTACAGACAGAAATGTAAACCTAAAAGTTCAGAAGTACATCAATGGTAAAGTGCAACAATTGATTGATATCAAGGAGACAATTGATGATAAACAAGATGAGCAGCAAACTTTAATCCAACGTGTAATTAGAGAGACGTTAGCTTCCTCTAATGTTTATGAAAATATAATTCAATCTGTTGTTGAAAAATCAATACCAATGATCCTAGAAGGGCTTAAGGCAGCCTCTGCGGCACCACAAGGGCTACCGGTAGCACCAGGAACATCTCGGGAACTAACAGTAGCTAGAGAGGAATCATTAGCCGACACCCAGGAAGGCATCACAGATACTGAAACCTTCTCCATAGTTAAAAGAAAGCGAAAGAAGAAAAAATCTTCTGTTGTGACCAAGGAGAGTGCCATTAAACAGAATGTGCAGCTAAAAAAATCATCTGAGGCATCAACTAAAAAGAAGACGACTATGGCAGATGTTGTTAAAACTCTGCCATTAAAAGCACCGGATGCTCCAAAACCAACTTATCTGACCATAGTTGGCGAGGGAAAGACAGCGGTTGATATCATCAACGATTAGCCTCCTCCTACAGATCTTGGAGTAAATGCCAGAATCGTTCGAGCAACCAAAGCTGGTTCGGTTTTAATTTGCGTGGAGGAAGATGCCCATGTCAAAAAACTACTTGAGTGGCAGAAACTAAAAGAAGCTGGGATGGAGGCAAGACTAGCTCTGAAGAGGAAACCGAAGTTGGAAGTTAAAGGAGTTCCACGATCATGGACAGCTGAAAACCTAGAAAGGGTAACGTGGGAGAAGTTAGCTGCGAAAGTAGTCCCTACACCGGAGAATAAATCGGTCCATTTAAAGCCACTGTTTTCCACAATGGCCAAAAATCAGATCACAAATAATTGGGTGATTGAAGTGAACCCAGTGGTTAGGTATAACCTTCTGAAGGAGGAAATAATAGCTGGGGGTTGGTGGGTATTGAAATTCACTGATTACCCTGATGCTTCTCCATGCCTTGGATGCTAAACTACGTGAGAGAAGGTATCCCCAGTAGCAAAGCTAAGCATCAGGCAGGAAGTCGGAACTGCCCGGTGCATATAAAGAAGTCTCAAGAGGTGGTGAGAAAAACGTTTTATGACTAAAATCACTATCCTCCAGCTAAACATGGGCCGCCGATGCGTTGTGGCTGATGAACTTCGCACTCTTTCTAAATGCTATGACATTATGGCGGTTCAGGAACCGACCTGCCGTGGAAACAAAGTCACAGGGTTTGACCTCACGTCGAGGATTATAGCCCTGAGCAGTGGAGAGAGGAGGCCCAGGGCTGCAATAGTGATCAATAATCCTAACTTCGACGTGATGGATCTGAGACAGCATACCATGGCGGATTATGCATCATGCTATGTTAGGTGGGGTAAGATTACCTTCACACTTGTGTTGGCATACCTGCCTGTCAGTGATGATATTGATGAAAGCATATCCGCTATGGAAACGATCATTAGAGAGATGAGAAATGTGATCGTTTGCCCAGATTCCAACTCCTGGAACACGGTCTGGGGGTCCAATATTACTGATAGGCGAGGCGCGAAAATGGGAGATTTCATAGCAAGAAATCACCTTGTCGTGATGAATGAACCCTCTACCTTTTCTGGAGTCATGGGGCAGAGTTGGATTGATGTCACGATCGTCATGCCTATGTTTACGAGGTACATCACAGATTGGACTCGCTGAAACGAGTTCCGACTACATTGCGATAGCAATCGACCTGGTAGATAAGCCAGGATGTTCACACGGTATTGATAAAGGTTTTGTTACGAAAATAAGTGACTGGAGTGTCTTCAGGTGCTGTCTGGAAGGATTAATTGTAGATGAAGAATGGGATGTGATGGAGATGGAAGTAGCTAATGACCTGGACTACAAGGTCTCTAGGATCACCAATATCATTCGAGACGCTGCCGAAAACTCCCTGAAGCACCGGAAAGCCAGAGCTCGACCAGTCCCATGGTGGACGCCAGCCTTAACTGTTCTAAAGAGAGACCTCTACAAGGCCCGGCGGTCATATCAGAGGTGCAGGTGTGACGAAAGGCGCATTGCACTTCGGAATGAGTATGAATCTAAATCCAGGATATACCGAAACGAGATTCGCTCACAAAAACGGAAGTCCTGGGACGATTTCATCGTCCAAGAGTCCTCGCAGAATCCCTGGGGTATTCCGTACAGGGTGGCATTGGGTAAGCTGACCACGCTGCAGACTATTGCAGCTTTGAAATATCAAGATACTCAGGCAACCACCCTGGAAGAGACAGCCAGTATTTTCATTGAAGCAATCTACTCCAGGGATGATTCAGCCCAGGACAGCGAAAATGACGCTTTTGTGAGGCGTACCACGGTGTATCCGACCGGGTCAGATTTGTGCCCACCATGAGACATTCACGATCTTCGTATTGCCGTGGATAGACAGAAAATGAATCGTTCTCCAGGTCTTGATGCAATAGACGCTGCAATCTTAAGTAACAGTATTCCGTATATTGAAGATCATATTTTAAGATTTTTCAATCAGTGTCTAGATACGGGATACTTCCCACGAAGTTGGAAGATTGCTGATTTGAGACTCCTCTACAAGGGAGGAGATAGAGATAAGCAACTCCCTAACTCATATAGACCTATATGTCTCCTCCCTGTGATGAGCAAGGTCCTGGAGAACCTCATGATGTCTAGCTTACGCCCTGTTTTCGACAGAGCTAGCCATCCACGGCAATATGGTTCAACTAGAGGCCGCTCTGCTGAGAGTGCGCCAAGATGTTGAAGAGAGGACGGAACGTTATGTTATGCTATTGATTTTTGATATATCTTCCGCCTTCGACAGTGTATGGTGGCCTAGCGTGCTCCAGCAGCTGCAGAAATACGATGCTCCCAGCAATTTATACTCACTTGTAAGAAGCTACAGGCGTGTCAAGATCAGAGGGAATCACTATGAGGTAGAAGCTTCCATAGAGAGAGGATGCCCTCAGGGATCAGTCCTTGGCCCTGCTCTGTGGAAGCTTGTCTTCGATGAATTGCTGGGAGTGTTAGAGGAAGAGCGGCTCCCTGCTACTGCCTATGTTGATGACCTAGCTGCTGTGGTGGCCTCAAACAGCAGAGCTGGAGTCAAGACAGAAGCAGAGCGATGCGTTGGCCTGGTCGCGAGGTGGTGTGAGGGAAAGAAGATGAGGATGGCTGCTGCCAAGACTCAAGCCATTCTCCTCAAGGGCAAGACTGACAGGGCACACCCTATAACAATGAATATAGAAGGCCAAAGGATACGTCCAAGTGAGGTGGTAACGTACCTAGGAGTTAGGTTAGGTTTAGGCCTAAATGTGACACCTCACTTGGAATATATGGTAGGTAGGGTGGCCCTAGCAATGAACGGTCTAACTCGCGTGGGAGGCACATTCTGGGGCTTTAGGTATCCAGCCACAATCACGATATATAAAGGAGTTGTGGAGGGTATCCTGAGGTAAGCGTCTCCCTTCTGGTTCCGTAACCTCACACTACGACAAAAAAAAGGCTAGCCTCGACTCAGAGGACAGCTCTGCTTCGGGTCACCAGAGCATATAGGACAACTTGGCATGAAGCGGTGCAGGTTCTAGCGGGGGTGGTGCCTCTCGACCTCCTCCTACTAGAAGAAGTGACGAAGTATTCATACAAGATAGAAGGCTCTACAGTACTTTCGGACAATCTACAGATGAGGATTATGGAAGCGCCTAATAGGTGGAAGAAGATACTCCGGGAGGATACAATTGAAGCATGGAACCGGCGGTGGGTAACAACCCCTAAAGGAAGTACATTGAGGAAGTACTTTCCCACAGTACAGTCGAGGCTTCAGGCAAAGTGGGTCCTCCCGGACTACTGGATTTCCCAGTTCCTCACGGGGCATGGAGGATTTCGAGCTAAACTTCACGGTCTGGGCATTGATGTAGATCCTCTATGCCCAATCTGTAGTGTTCCGGAAACTGTAGAGCACGTGGTCACGACCTGAACCGCGTTTGAAACGTTAAGAGCGACAATGACAAGAGCCGCGGGAATCTATGTCCTCACTGAAAATGAGTTTCCTCAATTAGTCAGTGAGGAAAATTTCCCGCGGTTTAAGGATTTCATAAATGGATGGAAGACTGCAGTGGGGCCCGCTCACTTCCATATTGGTGCTCGCAGAAGAAGAGGGCAAGCGCCAGGAAGACCTCCAGATTCTGAAAGCTAGGCCGAATGAAGAAGGAAGAAGATAAAACAGAAGAACTATATATGTGCATATCTAGTAGTAGTGTGTTATTAAGTATTCATCCCTAAAACACACTATTGCAAACACCTGTATTGCCATTGTGGCATGGGAGGGTGGAAATAAATAAATAATCCCGTAGTGCCTTGGGGGGGGAGGGGGTGGCCGAAGGGCTAACGAGTGTGCACAGCACCTCCGTTGCCCGGCAACCTGAAATTGATACCCAAATAAAAATAGTCACGATTTCACATCTCGGTGGCGGGAGTGTCTTTTAAATTCCCGCCCTCACCTCCTGACCCGATAAAATCCCGTATAGCCTTAAAGGCGAGGAAGAGAAGGATCCCTCCCCGCCCCCTCCCAAAAAAAAATCCGGAGTGCCATACCCGGTCAAAA